TTTTGGCTTTGATATTTCTGCCCGTAGGATTCGCCCGAACGCCCAGTCAGTCGAGGCTATTTGTAATGCCCCAACACCCACGAACGCTTCAGAGGTTTGCAGTTTTCTGGGCCTAGCCAGTTTCTGTCGGCGATTTATCCCAGCTTTTTCCACCATCACTTACCCCCTTTCAGAGCTAACCCGTAAAGCTGTGCCATGGCAATGGACCAACACCCATCAATCCTCGTTTGACAAACTTAGGAAAATGCTAACTAGTGACTGTGCCATGGCCCACTATGACCCTGCAGCTCCCACCCAGTTACGTGTCGATGCTAGCCCTGTTGGTCTGGGGGCTATTTTGACTCGAACGCAGCAGAGTGTGGTGAGACCCGTCGCATATGCCAGTCGAACGCTTACCCCAGTGGAACGCCGCTACTCCCAAACAGAGCGTGAGGCCCTAGCAGTTGTTTGAGCTGCGAAAAGTTTCACCTTTACTTATATGACACCACCTTTGACTTGCTTACCGATCACAAACCCCTCGAGGTGATTTATAGTCCCACATCAAAGCCCCCAGCAAGAATTCAACGCTGGGGACTACGCCTCCAGCCTTACACATTTCGCCAGCAATATTCTCCTGGTGCCACCAACCCTGCCGATATATTATCTCGCCTGTCCTTGCCAAACACAGTGCGCCGAGAACGGAACATTGCGGAGGAGTATATCCACTACATAGCCCGCAACGCCATCCACAAAGAAATGCCCCTTACTCAGCCAGAGCAGGCTACGGCGCGAGACCCCGTCCTCCAGCGAGTCCACCAGTCAGTCGTCTCGGGTAACTGGTAGAAAACTAAAGAAACAGATCCCTATTTTTGCGTTAAAAATGAACTGACAGCGACAGAGTCCTTACTTCTTTATGGCTCCCGTATCGTGGTTCCAGCCAGTCTACAACCTACCACCCTACAACTGGAACACGAAGGCCACCGAGGGATTGTTCGAACAAAACAGTTCTTGCGAGAAAAAGTCTGGTGGCCTGGGATCGACAAAGACGTTGAACACTTTATTCGTTCCTGTATTTCCTGTCAGGCCCAGTCCTCCCAGTCATGCCCACAGCCACTTACCATGACAGAAATGCCTTCACGTCCGTGGACCGTCTTGCATGCTGATCTATGTGGTCCTTTCCCTAGTGGTGAGTCGCTTCTGGTTTTAGTTGATTCATGTTCTCGATGGCCAGAAGTTTTCATTTTAAAGAGCACAACTGCAACAGTCATCATCAATCGCATGAAATCGTGCTTCGCTGTGCATGGTCTCCCAGAAGCAATCGTTACAGACAATGGACCTCAATTTGTGGCTGAAGAGTTTGATTTGTATCTTCGAGAGCACGGCATCACACACCGTCGAGTAACACCTTATTGGCCACAAGCCAATTCCGAAGTCGAACGGTTTAACCGCACACTCGAGAAGGCCATTCGCGCTGCAAATACCGAAGGAAAAGATTGGAAAAGCGAGCTCAACACCTTCCTACTCAATTACCGAGCAACAGCTCATTGCACTACTGGCAAATCACCCGCTGTTCTCTTGTTTGGTCGAGAGATACGCACCAAGCTCCCGTCGTTGAACACTAGCCGTTCGCCAGCTTCAACGTCACCTGTTGTAGACCCCGCCATTCTAGAGCGTGATCGTTGTCAGAAAGCAAAGATGAAGAAGTATGCGGATAAGAAAAGACGTGCAGCACCTTCCAACATAAAGAGGGGTGACAAAGTTCTTTTGACGCAAGAACGAAAGAATAAGTTATCCACAAAATATGACCCAGACCCATATATAGTGGTAGGAACGAAAGGCACAAGTTTACTTCTAAAGAGACGAGCCGAGCCCGAGATAATGAGGAATTCGTCAGCAGTTCGCAAATTGCCGCCGGAGGGAACAGGTAGTCATCCACACAAAGCCAAACGGAAACCAGACCAAGTGGTCGATACAACAGCAAAGCCTAGATTCCAGCGACAGCGAAAACCTTCTGAATATCTTGGATATGAAAAGTGACATTCACACAGTCCGGAAAAGTAAGACAGTATACGAATTGACAGTTACAAACTCTGACAATTGATATTTAGTTTTGCATGTTTATTGACGTTTGGTTAAGCATTTTCACGTAAAAGAGGGATGTAGTGTCTTTGACGTCACAGTCACGTGAGGAACACGAGGAGAGATAGAGTAGTGTTAGAGAGAGAGTATTGTAGTAAACGAGCAAGAGAATAAATCCTTAAAGTTAGTTAATATAAACACTATATATGGATGGTTCAAACTTTTTGAGGTGGTGATGTTTAGGTGTGACATATTTCTCTTAAAACACTTGAGGACGCAAAAAAATGTTGTTGTTGAAATATAATATTCTTTCATATAAAAACTCGGACTCCTGTCGAATATTCTCTCAATATATAAACGAAAATATGTACTCCTCATAGTGTACTTCTGTACATATTTTTCTCTCTGTTCCTCGCATATTATTTGAATACACTACTTACTAGTTGCAAATGGTTTGGCAGTCATTGTGTATTTGTATTTCATAATATTTTGTTTCACGGCAGGGGTCTGTATTAATGATCATGGCGAGCGCGAATTCATCACGCAAAAAACGCGTTGGACTTGCTGACTCACAAGACAACGTTAATGTCGGTCGCTAATACGTAAATTTTGTCCAGAGTACAGCCAACTTTGGTCCTACAATTAGATTTGTAAGCATTGTAATCTGGAACGAACGTTTTGGTGCAAATTATATTGACATTGTGCGAGACATTGTTGTATTCACAGCAATATTTTCATATCAGTGCCATAATTTTAAGTTTCTAGTTACAACAGTGCAGTATCAGAGTAAAAGGTTCCGTCATAATATTTTTGTACATATCCATGAATGTTTAGTGAGTCGTCAAGCCGTGTTTTTAAACATTAAGTTAATTTCCATTATCACCGCCTATATCTTGTCACATGACCAGTTTCCATGGAAATCAAATATTTGAAAAATATCGGCAGTTAATTTCCAACATCTCACCCAAAAATGAGAGTCATAGTGTACTTTATTAATTCTAATTAATTTTTAAAGAATTTTCCTTATTTCCCACTCCTTACGAAATTGGAGACAGCCATTAATGCACCTGAGTAAATACCAAACTATGATCACTGATTCCTGTATGAATGATACCAGAAACTGAGATTTTCTTTGGTGTATTAGTAACTATATGATCAATGAGGCTGGAGGTTGTCATGGTTACACGAGTAGCTTCCTTAATTAATTGTGACAATTGATATAGTTCATACAGTGATTTTATTTTCGTGGTTGGTGTATCGGATTCTGTTTTAAGCATGTCACAATTTAAATCACCAAGAATATACATTTCTTTATTTTCATCATCAATCGCTTTGATTAATTTTTCAAAATTTTCAAAAAAATTCATGTGATGAATTTGGTGGTCGATAAATAATAGTTGTAACCAAAAATGGCCGACTATGTGGCTTACTAATTTCTACACAAACAGCCTCCATTTCGGAGGGATTAAGATCATTTCTTATTTTATAGTTGATTGAGCTACGTAAGTATGTACAAACTCCACCCCCATTTCTTGATCGGTCTTTTCTAACAATGTCATAGCCATCAAGGTCAATCACACAATCAGAAATATTTTAATCAAGTGGAATCTCACTAAAACCAATCAGGTCAATGTGTTTGTTGCACATTGAGTAATGTATTTCGTCAATCTTTTTTGGCAAACTGACAATATTTAGGAAAGCCATCTTAAAACCTCTTTCATTGGGAGTAGAATTAAGGCTAGTGAAAAAATCGCTACCCACATTTTCATTCGAAGGATCTATTTTAATTATTTTCCCAGTACTTGACTGAACAGTACTTGACTATGGTAACACTTGACTATGGTAAAATGTTCTTCATAACATGGTGCTTTATTCCTAGTTTGTAGAATTAATTCTTAGAATACTGATAAGTTGCAATTGAGCAACAACAAATATTTTATGACAAGTTTTTTGTTTTCTGTCCGCCACGATAGCTATTATTACCCATTACAACAATAGATCGCTGACCAATGGCATGCACGTGCTCAGGTTACTTTGACATGTTTTCTCTGTTGACCTATACAGCTATATACGAGCAAAATTGTACTTTGACAATTTTTACTGTCACAAGTATATTTTTCAAAAGCTAGCTCGCTAGCTTTTGAACAAGTGTACTCGCACAGTAAAAAAATGTCAAAGTTGAGTGTAAAGACGAGTGAGTAAAACTTGCCAAATAGAATCGGCATAGAATCTCGCTGTTATCCGAATACATCAACTAGTCGATATAAAGAGTGTACGGGGGGTTCTCGATTACCCCATGCTGCTTGTTATGTCTTAAATGTCTTATCTTTATCATTGTTGTCGATCCAATTTGCTTCTTTTTTTTCTGGACAAACTTTGGTAAAAACTCTAGAATAAAGGTAAGCCGCCACCTCTTATTTATGGATGGCCTAAAATTAATCTAAATTTATACCAGGGTTATATCAGGATTTTTAATAATTATACAAAGTGCTATCTAATACACCCTTTCGTCATTTGGCCTGTCAGCCTCGCTCTCGTGAATCGTGAACCAATCACCTTGCGTAATTTGCTAATGAGAGCAAGGTTACATGTACGTGCGACGTAATTATCAAAAGGGTGCATACAACTTGTCGAAAAGCGATTCTGAACATTAAGGCTAAGAGAAAAGGGAAAGTTTTAGCCAAAGATATGCGAAGAATTTGATAGATTTTGAAATTAGAGATGAAAAAAGTCTGGGTTTTAAATAAACAATTTTTTGTTAAAATAACTAGCGATTTCTGATTAGCAATTAGCCAACAATGAAATCGTTATACCAACTAAATAGCTGACGAACCATGCAGTTTTGAGATGCTATTCAACTGTTTGACGCTAATATGTTGATATAGAAAATCATATCAACGTCATGACGTCATAACTTTACATCAAAACAACATATCAACGTTACGAAGTCATTCCATGAAAATAATTAAAATACGAAATCAGTGGCGCTTCTAAGGAACTTATTTTGTGGGAAACTTACTAATTTATAAAGCCATAATTATGGAAAGGATCTGGGTGCATGCTTTTTCGGTGGAAAAATTATTTTTAGGTTATTCAAACCGCATATTTTGTATTGTAGAAGCACTTGACGAAAAAATGTAAAGACCACCTCTTAACAGTATCAAATGCTGATTTCAAAATATATGGTAATGAATTCAATCAGGCGGAGAATAGTGACTCAGAACTTTATATAAGATCAACGTTTAGTGGAGTCTATGAGCAGATGCGCGCAACATTGTTTCGGCTGACAATTTTCCAGCATCGTCCCAAATTTTTCATCGGACTTGAACGAAGCTCAACTTACCCTCTGAAAACGATTGGGGAAGGGGCAGCTACACTTATATGGTGAATTGTCAAACCTTTAGTTAAATTTGGGTAAAGATAATCGGCTTTTGAACAAACGGCCCCTGGTGCAGTAATTTTCTAATATAATAAATCAGCATACGCTTTGTTTAGATATTGATGAATGCTTATCATCTGCGTGTGGCCCTGATGCCAATATTTCATGCATCAACTTCCAAGGCTCCTACAAATGCAGATGCGATAAGGGATTTGCTCTGGATGGAACCAATCACAGCTGCACTGGTATGTAACAAAACAGTGATAAGTAGCTAAATATAAACTACAACGTTGTTGGTGGATGTGTACAATTTTTATATATTTACTGGTTGCGATGAGCCGTTATACATGGTGAACGAGAGAGCGTAGCAGACAACTTAGTATGTAACAGAAATGCATTAATTAAGGACCAGCCGACAATTAAGTAATTAGTTTATTATATGAGTTTAGAGATAAATGTTGGACACTGACATGCTCACAAACACACAAAAGAACTATATATCTAGATTTAGTATAAATTTTGCGTATTAAATGAGCTTTCGCGCGTTCTGATTGGCTAGTCGACTAGTAAATCTGACGGATTATTTACCACGTGGGTAGTAAATAAAGCTTTCCAAAAAAAATGATTCGGCAAATTTGGTTTCAAAATTGGCGAAATATTTAAAAAATCTTTCCCACAAAACAAAAAAGCACAAATGGTTGTATTTGACTTGAAATGTAGGATTCCTTTATTATTTTGCTGTCAGTGTCAAACATATTCACGGACAATTTAAAACTTATATATTTAAAACTCAGAAACATTCATTTCAAACAAATATCAAAAAATATCCCAACTGTTGTGCAAAACCTTGCCGTGATCGATATTATTTTAAAACCATTTTGTTTTGTATCGTATACATATCTCAATTTGTACGATACTATTTCTTTTGATATGTCATGCATATGTTTTCATTGTGTTGCATGTTTACGACTAAACTTGTAAAGTGAAAAGTGTATTAAAATTTATTTCGAGGCATTTGTTGGTTCGAGCAATTGTTTTACTTTCCACTTTACCAAATTTCTCAGCCATTTCCTGAACAAATTAATGCTGAACAGAAACTATTTTTTAATTCTAAGTCTGGTGAAAAGTAATCCCACTATTGTGTTTATATCCTAAGCAGAAATCGAGAAAAACAACAATGTAATAAAGCAATAAAGTCACACAGGAAGCATTTTGAAAGCATGCGTGTACAAGGAACAGGGGTGGATCCAGTATCTTAATCTGACCGTAGCATAACTGGCGTGGCCGAAGGCCCCGCACACACCTAGGAGGGTCCGGGGGCATGCCCCCCGGAAAATGTTTCAAATTTGATCCCCGAAAATACTGTTTCCTGCGTTCTGAGCTGCAGATTCTGTCCAAAAATTTGGCCTTAACCAGGCCATATTTTAGACAAAACGAAACAAAAATACACACAATAACTGATAAATGTTCTAACATACCTTGTTCTCCAGTGAATAATACAAAATAAGAGGACTATCACCTTACACTTACTCACATACGATCACAACTCCAGACTCTAGACTATGTCTGATGCAAATTTCACACGCAGTTCCATATTGTATTACAGATTCGGCTGTATTTCAGGCGATGGTATCAGTGTTCAAGTTTCTACACCAGTAATCATGCATAAAGCGTCTTGATGTAGAAAAATATCCATTCGGGACTGAGTACATCGTTTACATTTCCTTGTTTCAGTTACTCTCTAGGTCTTTTACGAGGTGGGGCTTCCAACCCAGTGACCAACCCTCCTCCTTTTTATCCGGGCTTGGGACCGACAATGGCGGAGTTAGGGAGCATCTTGCAACAAAGGACGTAATTAGGGAAAATAGCACAGCGTCAGTAAGGAACATTGTTCACTGCAAATCGTCTTGAAACAGCAGGACAAAGGTATTTAAATAAATGTTCACTGGTACCGTAAATCATCTTGAAACAGCAACGCGAAGGAAGATAGGAAAATGTAATTGTTCACCCTTATAACTTATCTTAAAACAGCAGCATAACGGCAGCTTGCGGAAGATACGAAATGTCCATTGTAAGTCACTTTGAAACAGCAGCACGAAGGAAGTTAAGTAAATGTTCACTTCTCTGTAAATCATCTTGAAACAGCAGCAAAAAGGAAGTTAATTAAATGTTCACTGTAAATCATTTTGAAACAGAAGCAAAAAGGAAGTTAAGTAAATGTTCAGCGCAGATAATCTTGAAACAGCAGAACGAAGGAAGTGAAGTAAATGTTCACTGTAAATCATCTAGAAACAGCAGCACGAAGGAAGTTAAGTAAATGTTCACTGTAAATCATCTTCAAACAGCAGCACGAAGGAAGTTAAGTAAATGTTCACTGTAAATCATCTTGAAACAGCAGCACGAAGGAATTTAAGTAAATGTTCACTGTAAATCATCTGGAAACAGCAGCACGAAGGAAGTTAAGTAAATGTTCACTGTAAATCATCTTGAAACAGCAGCAAAAAGGAAGTTAAGTAAATGTTCACTGTAAATCATCTTGAAACAGCAGCACGAAGGAAGTTAAGTAAATGTTCACTGTAAATCATCTTGAAACAGCAGCACGAAGGAAGTTAAGTAAATGTTCACTGTAAATCATCTTGAAACAGCAGCACGAAGGAAGTTAAGTAAATGTTCACTGTAAATCATCTTGAAACAGCAGCAAAAAGGAAGTTAAGTAAATGTTCACTGTAAATCATCTTGAAACAGCAGCACGAAGGAAGTTAAGTAAATGTTCACTGTAAATCATCTTGAAACAGCAGCACGAAGGAAGTTAAGTAAATGTTCACTGCAAATCATCTTGAAACAGCAGCACGAAGGAAGTTAAGTAAATGTTCACTGTAAATCATCTTGAAACAGCAGCACGAAGGAAGTTAAGTAAATGTTCACCGTAGATCATCTTAAAACAGCAGCACGAAGGAAGTTAAGTAAATCTTCACTGCAAATCATCTTGAAACAGCAGCAAAAAGGAAGTTAAGCAAATGTTCACTGTATATCATCTTGAAACAGCAGCACGAAGGAAGTTAAGTAAATGTTTATCTGTAGATTATCTTGAAACAGCAGCACGAAGGAAGTTAAGTAAATGTTCACTGTAAATCATCTTGAAACGCACCACGAAGGAAGTTAAGTAAATGTTCACTGTAAATCATCTTGAAACAGCAGCAAAAAGGAAGTTAAGTAAATGTTCAATGTAAATCATCTTGAAACAGCAGCACGAAGGAAGTGTTCACTGTAAATCATCTTGAAACAGCCGCAAAAAGGAAGTTAAGTAAATGTTCACTGTATATCATCTTGAAACAGCCGCAAAAAGGAAGTTAAGTAAATGTTCACTGTAAATCATCTTGAAACAGCAGCAAAACGGAAGTTAAGCGAATGTTCACTGTATATCATCTTGAAACAGCAGCACAAAGGAAGTTAAGTAAATGTTTATCTGTAGATCATCTTGAAACAGCAGCACAAAGGAAGTAAAGTAAATGTTCACTGTAAATCATCTTGAAATGCACCACAAAGGAAGTTAAGTAAATGTTCAATGTAAATCATCTTGAAACAGCAGCACGAAGGAAGTTAAGTAAATGTTCACCGTAGATCATCTTAAAACAGCAGCACGAAGGAAGTTAAGTAAATCTTCACTGCAAATCATCTTGAAACAGCAGCAAAAAGGAAGTTAAGCAAATGTTCACTGTATATCATCTTGAAACAGCAGCACGAAGGAAGTTAAGTAAATGTTTATC